TTTGCGGTGAAGCCGCTTTCTGCGGCAATCACTTCTATTTCTACAACATCTCCCTCTAAAGTGACTCACAGGGAGCAGAACGCAGACACAGCAGAATACTCCGAAATGTGCCGGCTGAGCTTATCATTTCCTTTCATTCCGTACCCCCCACCAAATGTGTCCTTATTCAGAAGATCATTTAGAAGTCTGCAAAAGTGCAAACTGTGTATCTTCCAACTTTGTGAAAGCTGCCTCCTTCCCTGCAAATCCAGATGGGGGATGGGCTATGGATTACCACGGAGGGGTAGACAGCGCTTCCCATTGGTGCTTATGTTTCTGGGGTTTTCATTGCTAGAGTGGACTTGATGGGTATAGTACCCCAAGTTTTCTTTTTTTACATAAAGTTATATTCATCAGGATTTTTGGACCTTATCCTAAATGTATTAAACCCAAAAACAAAAATGGTGGAATGAGAGACACCGCTAGCTCAACAGATGGACTGGAATGTGAACGGCCTCAGCCTTGAGCTCCCCCTGAGCCTTGCCCTTGATGCATCTTGCCCCGCCCACCGGGCCTTAAGCCGGCCATACACGGGTCAAATTCAGAAAGAATTTACTTTCGAACATTTTTTCTGAGAATTTTCATTTGAATTTCGCACCATTAGTGGGCCACAACCAGGGGCGGACTGACCATTTGGAAACTCGGGCACTGTCCGAGGTCCCGGGGTCAGTAGGGGGCCCCATGAGATGCCCCTGGTACCTATTTCATAGGCTTTTTTGAGTTTGGGCAAGGACACAGGGGCCCCATGATCCCCTATTGCCCAGGGGCCCCATGAGTTGTCAGTCCGCCCCTGGCCACAGCAATGGTCGATTTTCAAGCGACCATTGAATTTGAGTGATCGGGCATGTTGGATATTTTTGAAAAACGAATGTATTTCTAATCAATGATTGAAGAATCATATGAGAAATGTAATTGAAAAAGAAATGAACATGAGCAGTGACCTAGAAACAAAAGAAAATTCACTGACATCCCCAGTGACACCAATACAGTGATCAGTGCTAAAAAAAAAAAGCACTGTACTAATGGCACTGGGCAGGAAGGGGTTAACATGAGGGGCGATCAAAGGGTTAACTGTGTGCAGGGAGTGTTTTACAGCCATCCAAAGCAATGTGCCCGAACTAACAAGGAGGAAAACTGTTAGTAAACGAAACGGTTCTCCTCCCCCGTTGGAGATCATCAGAAAAATCACCGGGCGCTGGCAAGTAATCACTAGCTGGGACCCGGTGATTGACGGCCACGGCCGTGAATGGCTCGCGCGTGCCCCCTACCCGGAGATGCAAAATCATATATATATATATATATACAGTTGTGTCCAAAATTATTCAACCCCCAATGCTGTAAAGGGGTTTAGGGACTATAGTGTACATTTGGAATTGTATTCAGAATCAAATCCTACAAGGACGTTGTAACTACCCAAATGCAACTAAAATGACATCAATTGTTTATGTAATACAGTAGTAAATGGTTCTTATGTGGTTTCTTCATTGCCACAAATTATTCAACCCCTTAAAGACTACCACTCTGAAGAACAGAGGTTCATACAGGTGCTTTCCATCAGGTATTGAAAACACCTGTGGATGTCACCGAGCAGCAATCAAGCATAATAAGCACCAATTAGGCAGCTTTAAAATGACTGTGATACTCAGCTCCTTCTAGACATTTACTGGTGTGGTTACAAACATGGTGAAGGCAAGAGAATGGTCCAGGAAGACAAGAGAAGAGGTGATTTCTCTTCACAGGAAGGGCAATGGCTATAAGAAGATTGCAAAGATGTTAAACATACCAAGAGACACCTTAGGAAGCATCATTCGCAAATTCAAGGCAAAGGGCACTGTTGAAACGCTACCTGGTCGTGTGGCAGAAAGAAGATGCTGACTTCGACTGCTGTGCGCTACCTGAAGCGTAGAGAGTGGAGAGAAGTCCCCGTGTGACTGCTGAGGAACTGAGAAAAGATTTGTCAGATGTGGGTACAGAAGTTTCAGCCCAGACAATAAGACGCACACTGCGTAATGAAGGCCTCCGTGCCAGAACTCCCAGGCGTACCCCCTTGCTGTCTCCAAAGAATAAGAAGAGTCGACTGCAGTATGCCAAAAGCCATGTGGACAAACCACAAAAGTTGTGGGATAGTGTTCTGTGGTGGACTGATGAAACAAAATTAGAACTGTTTGGGCCCATGGATCAACGCTATGTTTGGAGGAGGAAGAACAAGGCCTATGATGAAAAGAACACCTTGCCTACTGTGAAGCATGGTGGAGGGTCAATCATGCTTTGGGGCTGTTTTGCTTCTGCAGGTACAGGGAAGCTTCAGCGTGTGCAAGGTACCATGAATTCTCTTCAGTACCAGGAGATATTGGATGGAAACGTGATGCAGTCCGTCACACACCTGAGGCTTGGGAGACGTTGGACCTTTCAACAGGACAATGATCCCAAGCATACCTCCAAGTCCACTAGAGCATGGTTGCAGAGGAAAGGCTGGAACATTTTGGAGTGGCCATCGCAGTCACCAGACTTAAATCCGCCCCTGAGAACCTCTGTGTGGACTTAAAGAAAGCAGTTGCAGTGCGCAAGCCTAAGAATGTGACTGAACTGGAGGCCTTTGCCCATGAAGAATGGGCGAAGATACCCGTAGATCGCTGCAAGACACTTGTGTCAAGCTATGCTTCACGTTTAAAAGCTGTTATAACTGTAAAAGGATGCTGTACTAAGTACTAAGATTGAATGTCACTTGGGGGTTGAATAAAACTGATAATGCTGTGAGCACAGAAAAGACATTTGTGGTTATTTCATTAAAACTGTTATGTTATATTTGTCTGACCTACAAGTGCCTCTTTAATGTAAATGTAAGCAAGATGACTGATTGATCAAAAGCAATGTCAAACTGGCCAAAAACACTCAATTTCAGTGGGGGTTGAATAATTTTGGCCACAACTGTATATATATATACACACACATGATTGTGCGCACCCGTGCTGCCCTGTAGCAGTATTTCTGCTATAGGGTGGACGGGAAGCTAATAATTGAGGTATTCACATTTGTTTGCCGCAATATGTGGAACCTATATGTGACAGTACGCCGCGGTCTTGTATTTTTGGGGAATTCTCAGCCCCATTACCGCACTGACAGGTATACAGAAGCCATATTTTCCCCTTTAAATAACAATCAGTGTGATTGTCCTCCAATGACAAGCTAGTTAGCAGCCTCTCTCTGTGTCAGAGCATTATCCGCTAACTCGGTAATCGCTTGCCATTGTGTTGGTGGCACGATTATTATATTGTTGGAATATAAATATCATGTTTACTCTCTGCAAGACAAGATGCCGCGGAGTTTTCCCGCTGCTGCGTTGTCGCTGTGTGAGGGAAAATAATTGGACCTTCCCACTCCTCCCAAGGGATGTATACAGAGGCATTGTCAGGGGAGGCGATGCACGGCGATGACATCAAAGTGTCTAAGCTGAGGCTACATTATGCCTTATATAAATAGATTCTGCCGTCTGTTGATTTCTCACTCTTCTTTTTCATGAAGGAAGATGGCATTTGGGTGGCGGGCTAAAAAAAGGGATTTATTAATCCTAGAATTAGATTAATATTCTTGCAGTTCATTCGTTAGTCAAGTTATAGGTTTAGTCCTTGAGATTCAGGTATACAGTATGTCAGCATTCCTCTTAGTGATTGATGGCCAGCCGCTGTTAAAGTCTGTTTTTTTACTTGTACTTCCAGGTAAGACTATAATAAATCTTACCTGTAGGCAGGGGTGGACTGACAACTCATGGGGGCCCCGGGCAATAGGGGATCATGGGGTCCCTGTGTCCTTGCCCAAACTCAAAAAAGCCTATGAAAAAGGTACCAGGGGCATCTCATGGGGCCCCCTACTGACCCCGGGCCCTCGGGCAGTGCCCGAGTTTCCAAATGGTCAGTCCGCCCCTGCCTGTAGGTACTTTAAATATCTCCTAAACCTGCACTGTTTAGGATATATTTACTTGTGCATCCGCACCGGCGCATGCGCTCTGAAGGAATGGCATGCCTGTGCCATTCCTTCAGAGCTGTGTGCTGTAAAAAGTAACTTCCGCGCACATGTACGGGTGGGACGTTTTTACGGTTCGGCCATTCAAACTGCTGGGGCCCATGAACCTGGAAGAAGGACCGAGTGAAGATAGAAGCCCTGTCAGCGGTAACAGCGCATCGCTGGAGAGCTTCGTTTTAAGGTGCATTTCACACAATGTGCTAGGATGCGATGCATACCAGCACATTATGACATTGCCTTGCAGGGGAAACTTTTTTTGGGGGGGAATGATCAGGTTTACTACTGCTTTAAAGCTAGGCTGACTCCATTCTTACTTTTCCACTTCTTGCCCACCCCAGCGTCCCTTTAAAAAGTTCTGAACATCCGGGATTGGCAATCATGTGACCACTGTGATTGGCTGTCACAGTGATCACATGATTGGAAGCCAGTCCCACCACTTACCGATCGTTCACATCTGACCATTCACCAAACATGTAGACATTCATGGGAAATGCAAAAAAGTGTCGCGCTTGTAGGGCCATTCATTGGTAACGATAACCCAAACGCTACTAGTAGACATGCAACGAACTCGACAAGATGCGCGCTTGAACAAAATCACAAAGCTAGATAGCCAAAAGGTGCAAGAGCTTCTGTGGCATGTTTGCCGTGCATGACACTTCTGGCAGTACCGGGGTCGTTGGTTTGAATCCCAACCACGGCACCTCCTGCCTGGAATTTGCATGTTCTCTCTGTGCCTGCGTGGGTTTTCTCCAGGTACTCTGGTTTCCTCCCACACTCCAAAGACATGCTGGTGGGTGAATTGGCTCCTGTCTACATTGGCCCTAATTGTGTATGTATGAATGTAAGTTAGGGACCTTAGATTGTACGCCCCTTGAGGGTTAGAGACTGATGTGAAAGTACAGTTGTTGGTACATGTTGGTGTCAGTGGAAGGAATAGTGCCCCCATCGTTGGTGTCAGTGGAAGGAATAGTGCCCCCATCATTGGTGTCAGTGGAAGGAATAGTGCCCCCATTGTTGGTGTCAGTGAAAGGAATAGTGCCCCCATTATTGGTGTCAGTGGGAGGAATAGTGCCCCATTGTTGGTGTTAGTGGGAGGAATAGTGGCCCACCATTGGTGTCAGTGGGAGGAATAGTGCCCCATCATTGGTGTCAGTGGGAGGAATATAGTGCCCCATCATTGGTGTCAGTGGGAGGATAGTGCCCCATCATTGGTGTCAGTGGGAGGAATAGTGCCCCATTGTATGTGTCAGGGTCAGGAACTATGCTCCACCGTTGCAAAAAAAAAGCAAGCAAAGGGCCTCATCTGGCCTCCGTGCCGTAGCTTGGAGACCACTGCCCTAGGGTGACAACACTGATAGCGTATAGTAAGGGAGCGTTGTCAGTCTAGGACAGGAAGTGTGTTATTGGCAGGATCACCAGGTGACATTAAAGGAAAAAAAAGAAAATGTATGCAGCCAATACATCTAAAGACTGGTAAGCTGCAATATATTACATATTCATTCTTGGGTTAAGATACATATTCAAACGGGCAGCACAGTGGCTAAATGGTTAGCACTTCCAACTGGCAGTACCAGCGTCATTGGTTTGAATCTCAACCATGGCACCTCCTGCCTGGAGTTTGCATATTCTCCCTGTGCCTGCGTGGGTTTCCTCCGGGTACTCCAGTTTCTTCCCACACTCCAAAGACATGCTGGGAGTTTAATTGGCTCCTGACTAAATTGTCCCTAGTATGTGTATGTATGAATGTGAGTTAGGGACCTTAGATTGTACGCCCCTTGAGGGTTAGGGACTGATGTGAATGTACAGTTGGTGGTACATGTTGGTGTCAGTGGAAGGAATAGTGCCCCCATTGTTGGTGTCAGTGAAAGGAAGAGTGCCACATTGTTGGTGTCAGTGGAAGGAATAGTGCCCCCATCGTTGGTGTCAGTGAAAGGAAGAGTGCCCCATCATTGGTGTCAGTATGAGGAATAGTGCCACATCATTGGTGTCAGTGGGAGGAATAGTGCCCCCATTGTTGGTGTCAGTGAAAGGAAGAGTGCCCCATCATTGGTGTCAGTATGAGGAATAGTGCCACATCATTGGTGTCAGTGGGAGGAATAGTGCCCCCATTGTTGGTGTCAGTGAAAGGAAGAGTGCCACATTGTTGGTGTCAGTGGAAGGAATAGTGCCCCCATCGTTGGTGTCAGTGAAAGGAAGAGTGCCCCATCATTGGTGTCAGTATGAGGAATAGTGCCCCATCGTTGGTGTCAGTGGGAGGAATAGTGCCCCCATTGTTGGTGTTAGTGGGAGGAATACCCCCAAATTGACACAAAATGGAAATGACAAATGCCCCTTGAGGGTTAGGGACTGATGTGAATGTACAATATATATGTAAAGTGCTGTGTAAATGGATGACACTATATAAGTACCTGAAATAAATATTACTGCTAATAATGATAGTAATACAACAGACGGCACAGTGGAGGTAAATACTGCACTTATTCTCTCCTTTCATAGAAATTCTCCTCCAATTTCTGTCCTCCGAGAAGTTTGCAGCATTTGCTCAGCTATATTAAAGTATCTTACAATGTGCATTAAAATCTTCTGGCAGCGGCCCCCACAATCATCCAATACACAGCGTTCGTCATTTCCATTTTGTGCCAATTTGGGGGTATAATTAACATTGTTGAGCAGCCAGTTGAGACAAATTAACATTGTTGATCAGCCAACAAATTGGCCAACACTCACAGCCCAGTGTGAAGCAGAACACAAACATTTGCAGACTTCATCTGGGACGAAGCCGGACCAGACGGGTTCAGATCTCCAGACTCAAATAGTAACAGAGCTGACAGACCAATGGAATTCCCCGAAATTAAAGACATACTTATCTATGGAAGATCTGCTGAAAACCTTGAAAAACTGGGGGGCTTATGAAAAGTGGGAGCAGTCTGTTCACATACTAATAGACTGTGTTGGCGGCAATGGTTTATTTAGGTTTTGTGCTGCCCTAGGCAACACAAAAATTGTCTGCCCCCATAGACATGAACCAACACCCTCCCACCTTCCCCCTCCCATGGAAAGAGCCTGTCATTGACCAACACCCCTGCCCCCCACCTGGGAGAGCCTTCCACTAAACCCCCACCACCCCAGTGATAGAAAGACATTTGTCTTCACATCTCCAGACATAAACGTAAGTCGGGCTCTACATACACCATCAAATAGCCTGTAGCCTCTCTCAGATCCCTCCTGGTACCCATGGCGTGCGTGTCCCTTCTTTCATCCCTTCTTCTGGGGAGAGGTGCTGCCCCCCCTGAAAAATGCCACCCTAGGCAAATGCATTGTTTGCCTTGTGGTAAATACACCCCTGGTTGGTGCATATGTGTTAGTAGAGAGCTGGACTGACAACTCATGGGGCCCCCGGGCAATAAGGGATCATGGGGCCCCTGTTTCCTTGTCCAAACTCAAAAAAGCCTGTGAAAAAGGTACCAGGGGCATCTCATGGGGCCCCCCCTCAATATAAAACCAATTAATACGGCGCTAAATAAGCAAAATAAGATAAGATAAACCATATAAAATAGTGGCCTGACATATATAAGGAGTGGCTGACATATATATAAAGAGTGCAGTGGACAGCTATGAGGATAACATGCATGAAGGTGAGCAAAAACGTGAATAATATCCTTAATGGGTAAACATAAGGTGAATGGTGTCCTTAATGGGTCACACAGACTTCATGCAGGTGTGAGCCACAATGTGCCAATCCTCTAAGGCTGGGGTGCCCCCTTATCACCTTCCTGCTCAGGCCCCCCCAGGGACCAAAGAGCTTATAATGCTGATTGTAATGATCAGCAATGGAGCATATCCTGATGAAGTCACGTGTTTGAGTGACGTAACGCGTAGATACGCCAGAGGGAGGAGCTTCCCACGATCGACGGCTTGACATCACATCCGGCGTGGACGCCATCTTGGTGCTCCAAGTCCTGAACACAGTACACCCGTGGAGAGGTGTAAAGGCCTGCTTATTATCAGATCCGTGTAAGTAGGCTCTTGGTTGTTTTTAACCTAAAAGGTTTTATACTATGTAAGTCTCTCTTGCAGATCACTGGTGACCATACTGGAGAGCCTCTATCGGAGAGACATCACGGGCAGTGCTGAGGTTACTATTCCATACTAAGACCTACCAGGAGGAGTGGTGCTGACACCACTATTACCAGCAGGATCCACCGACCAGCAGGATCATTACATCAGCATTATAAGCTCTTTGGTCCCTGGGGGCCTGAGCAGGAAGGTGAGGGGGCACCCCAGCCTTAGAGGATTGGCACATTGTGGCTCACACCTGCATGAAGTCTGTGTGACCCATTAAGGACACCATTCACCTTATGTTTACCCATTAAGGATATTATTCACGTTTTTGCTCACCTTCATGCATGTTATCCTCATAGCTGTCCACTGCACTCTTTATATATATGTCAGCCACTCCTTATATATGTCAGCCACTATTTTATATGGTTTATCTTATCTTATTTTGCTTATTTAGCGCAGTATTAATTGGTTTTATATTGAGTTGTTGATTTTGGTGCTGTGGCTGTGGCACTACTAATACAGGCTGCTTTAATCATCTAATCATTTACATCTACATTTTGGCGCAGGAGGAGATTATCCTTTTTATTTATTCATGGGGCCCCCTACTGACCCTGGGCCCTCGGGCAGTGCCCGAGTTTCCAAATGGTCAGTCCGCCCCTGGGCTGGACCATATCCCTGTGAAGAGGTGGAGGTTGGCATTCCAAATCATCAACTCTCTATTACTTGGGGTGTTGAAGTACGGGTCTATAGAAATGATTGATTTACAAAGAACTTGGTATTAGTTGTTATGCAGTTACCTATAATAGTTTATAGGTAATCACTTCTGTGTGTATATATATATATATATCTGTATAATGGCTACTTTTGTATATTGTGTTCTCTCTGACCTTACCACATGGTCACATTTACCTCGACACCGTTATCTTACCAGGTTGGATAAAGCCAGTAATTTGGTAGAACTGGTTAAAACTAGTTTTAACCTGGGAGCCCCCCCTCAATAAGTTCACATATACATAAGAGCAGGGCTGATGTTAGTAACCATGGGGCTCCATACAGCCAACCTGACAGCCCCCCCACCCACCCCCAAAACCCCCCCCACAGTTTACTATGATTCAGTTGTGAATGAACACAGGGAGTGATCGGTGCAGAGTGACTCGTAGAGCTCCGTACTATCAGCAGATGGACTGGGAGCAGTATAAGAAGAGGAGGATCAGAGAAGACAGGATCAAACAGCCTTTTTACACAATACGGAGGATTAACCCCTTAGGTTCTGCAGTGAGTATAACAAGCATGCTTTACTGCATCTACAGACTGATTTTACTGTTGTGGGTTTAGTAACACTTTAAAAAGAATTTTTCTCTAGATAGAGTTTGTAATATACTGTACATGTACATGGGGACAGCCATATCTGTACATTACATAGGCAGGCTTTGCTTCCTGCTTAGTAGTGCTGCATAATGCTTGGGCTTCACTGTTCTTTTCCCTCTCAGTGGATGCCTATGGGTCAAGCCTGACTTTATTGAAGAAAAGGGACTGTTTATGGAAGGGTAGCAGATCTGACCACCTACCTATACCTACCTGTACAGGTGTCTTCAAAAAAAAAAAAAAAAAAAAAATCATCTCATTGGTTGATGTGGCAGGAGAGGTTTTTGCTGTCTTCCATGTTTTCCTCCACACGTCTCCAAGCCTTTCCTAACTTTTAGCAACACTTGAAACTCTAAAAGTTCACTGTAACCTTCCAGATCCGCCACAGAGCGCCCTGACACCATCATTATTCTCCACAGACACGAAGCAGGAGCACCGGAGCCATTCCGACAAATGCCGTCTCCTGAACATCCATCACCAGGACAGCCGCCATACTTCCGCAGAACGTTTGACTGGCGTTAAAATAATATTTGAGTCGGAGTGACAAAAGTTATTCTTTCGTTGAATTCTTTTACTTCCTTAAGCAGGAAAGATGGGAATGAAGGTATGAGTGATGAGGACGGGTAAGTAAATATTAGCTGGGGGAATTAAAATAGAAGAGTAAAAAGCTGAACTCCGGCCTCCCCGTCAGTCTGGCACAGTTGTAGCGGCTCCTCTTCTGGATTGAAATGGCTTCCTCTGATTTCACTGCACACTGTGAGCTTCTCACATTGTGCATCAGAAGCTGCAGCATAGAGTCAGCCTTCTTTCCTGGCTGGAGGATGTCCGGCTTTATCTAGTATCTAGTTCTTTCCCGTCCCTTCCTACCAGTTCTTTCAATCATGGAGGCTCAGCATCACATGTGGGTGTTGCTTGTAAATACAGCCTGCCTAGGAAAGGCCACGCCTCCAAACTGACATCCACCCAGTAAGGCAATTCGATATTTGCATAGCTCCTCCCAAGAGCCAACCCACTGCTTGAGCTGAGGGCTCTTGAGAGGAGAACTGTGATGTTTTCAGGAAGCCATGTACAACCCGCTGCTGGCCCCTCCCACCAGCCATGATCTGCATTGCATTGCATAGAGAAGCACAGAGACCCAGTGATTACCGGGTCTAAAATACAGTATGAGATGAAATAGGAAAGGTTTTATTTTAAAATGTGATTAGCATTTTGATGAAGGGGGGCAGAAAGTTAGCTCCATAAGGACATGGTTTGATGAGTATGGTGTGGAAGAACTTTTGTGTCCCTCAGAGAGCCCTGACCTCAACATTACTGAACAGGTTTGGGATGAATTGGAACACAGATTGTTATCCAACATCAGTATCTGACCTCTCACATGTTGTTTGACCGGAACGGGCACAAATTCCCACAGGCACCCTTCAGTCTTGGGAAAAGTCTTCCCAGAAGAGTGGAGGATGTTGTAGCTTCAAAGGAAGGAGGAAACGAGGAGTCAACTCCATATTAATGCCAATGGCTTTGGACTGGGATGTCTAAGAAGCTAATTTAGTGTGACGGTCTGGTGACCCTTCCCTATATA